TTAATTTTTCAGATATAAATAAAGGTCATTACAAGTTTTAGGAAATACAAGATTTTAATTTTTTCAATTAGAAATTAGCCAGAAAAGATATTGACTATATATGAAGCACTAATAGGGGTTTTGAATATTACTCAAACACTTTACTGATTGTAACAACAAAATAGTCTTTTAGTGTGTTCTGAATCTGAATACATTTAATTCAATAAATCCGTTATTTTTTCAATTAGAAATTAGCCAGAAAAGATATTGACTATATATGAAGCACTAATAGGGGTTTTGAATATTACACACAAACACTTTACTGATTGTAACAACTAAATAGTCTTTAACTCTGTTCTGAATCTGAATACATTTAATTCAATAAATCCGTTATTTTTTCAATTAGAAATTAGCCAGAAAAGATATTGACTATATATGAAGCACTAATAAGGGTTTTGAATATTACACACAAACACTTTACCGATTGTAACAACAAAATAGTCTTTTACTCTGTTCTGAATCTGAATACATTTAATTCAATAAATCCGTTATTTTTATCTTCTTAGCTATGAGAGTATATCGTCACGTTGGAGATGTTGGCATGGTGTGGTCCTTGCAGAGTGTAAAAGTAAGTTTATTTTTGTGTATTTATCTCCTGAGATAAGCTACTCAACAAAATATTTTCAATTTAAATGTTTCAAGTGGGTTTTCTGCAAATGTTTAAGGGGTACTTTACAATCTTTTTTTCTGTACTAAAGGACATTGAAGATGGAAATTTGACAGGAGGACATCTTGTTATATATATATATGGAAGATTTGATACTCTTCATTTTTTATTCTTTAAGGACATTGAAGATCGAAACTTGACAGGAGGACATCTTGTTATATATATATATATGGAAGATTTGATACTCTTCATTTTTTATTCTTTAAGGACATTGAAGATGGAAATTTGACAGGAGGACATCTTGTTATATATATATATGTATGGAAGATTTGATACTCTTCATTTTTTATTCTTTAAGGACATTGAAGATCGAAACTTGATAGGAGGACATCTTGCTATGTTTAAGGGAGATTTTAATCTAGCTCAGGACTTGTATTTACAATCAACAAAACCTGCAACTGCTCTTGAAATGAGGCGTGACCTCCTTCACTGGGACCAAGCTTTACACCTTGCTAGGAAGCTAGCACCTGAACAAATTCCTTTCATTTCCAGAGAATATGCTCAACAGCTAGAGTTCACGTAGGACAGAAATTTTTCCTTGAAGATATTAACTCTATGTTGATGTTAAATCACACAAAGAAACATAGACAGAATGGATTATGTTGTACCTAAAGGCCAAAAAAAGTATCTCACATTTCACAGTTACATGTTATAGTTGTATCTATATGAAAGCATGTAAACAGAATTGGTTATTCTTTTTGTAAGAAAACAATGCAAATTTACCAGAGCAAAATTCTGTAAACATATAAACTATGTATTATAAGAAATATATAAAAACAAAATCATACTTTTAAAGTAATATTTGAATTTTGTAAATGTTGTCTATCAGTTTGTAACAATACAACATTGTCTACAAGTACAGATTGTGTATTTTGAAGTATATCTGGTATTTAGTTCCAATGCTAGAAGTTACTAACTGAGTGATACATGTATATCATCAACTAGATTTAAGTTTAATTTCAAAAATATATACTTGCTAATAATCCAGAAAAGTAGAACAAATTATGATCATTTTCACAGTATAAGTATTGTGATTGATCAATCCAAGGTATACATATAATATTCAGTGTTGTTTCGAGGACTCAAAAATATATTCAAAAATATATACTTGCTAATAATCCAGAAAAGTAGAACAAATTATGATCATTTTCACAGTATAAGTATTGTGATTGATCAATCCAAGGTATACATATAATATTCAGTGTTGTTTCTAGGACTCAAAAATATATTCAAAAATATTT